GTTGGTATGATACATTGATACAACATAACCCATAAGACAATATTGTATATATGGGTTGGGCCATGTATGACATCCAGTATATGATTAATATGAATGAGCAACATTAATTAAATATGACACAATTTTTTCTTAGTTTGTTTCAGACATCACCTGTTTAAACGCATGACACATTGACAATACAAGTGGGCTTACATAGCTTGATTATGAAATTTCCCTTGAAAATGTTAAACTACTAAGTTAGCACCCGTGCGATGCACAGGTTTACTAGTAATTTATCTTTGGATTTTTGTAAAAAAAAAAAATGAGTTTAAAATATTCATAAGCTCAATTTAATTAACCTCAACTATATTAACAACTCCTATAAAGACTACAACAACCTAAAATCAACATAAATCACCAAAGTAATAGGTACTTATTTTAAATTAATTACCTAGATAATAGCTACTATATGTTTAAAATTATTTAGCATTTTATTTCAAAAATAAAAATAATTAGCATTTGAACGGGAAATCTTTTCATAAAATAGGGGCCACATGTACAACATTGAAAAAAGATAATAACAGTGATTGCTACTTTAGTATTAGTTATATATAGATTGTTTCGATTCACTTTAAGAATTTCCTATATTATTTGAGATTAATCTGTTAATATGTGTGTGAACCTCGAATTCAACAACCAATATCTATCTTACAATAGAACAAACGTCAAACATAGAAACTCATTATTAGGAGCAAGAAAACATGAGATTAAATTCATCGGTGTGCATATGATTATGTAGTTGAAGAAGAGGGGATCACTATGACCCCCCATTTGTCATTTTCTTTGCAAGGTATAATTATAAAGGCAAACAATGAATATAATGCTGAAAAAATAGGCCAATTCCATCAAGTCCTTTCATTTTCATACCCATTGGTTCATAACGTGCGCAATACCGAAGTAGATTTCACCTTGTCCTTTGCTTCATTATGTATTGATTCCTTTTGTCGTCGATTTTGTGATTCCTTATTCCACCACTTCTAGAGTTTTGTGTTATGCTATTCACATCGCTTTCTCTATAAGAGGACAACATTTATCTATTAATCTGTCTCGCCATAACATTAATCGATACTTTCTCCATTTTTTATCTAAAAAAAAATTATGTTTCTTATGATAATAATGGAAGAATAAAGCAAACAGATAGATGTAATGTCAATTTTATCGAAAATTTAATATAAAGGAGTAGTGTCTGTAACGTAATTTATGGAATTCATGATTGTTATTAAAGTAAGGAGAGAGAATGTGTAATTTGATTATTCACAATTAGACTTGACAAACTAACCTGTACTTGAAATTACTAACCCTAAGCTACCTAGTTTGAATGACTCGATTATCACCTCTATTATGAAGTCAATTATCTCTATAATTGGTTAGAGATACCGTCAACCCAAGTCTAGTGGGAACAATATGTTAAAGCCCTACATGGTGATAGCCAGGTTGGTTTGTTTTAAAAATTGGTTGGGTTTTATGCATTCAGTTAGGCTTAACTAATAACCAAGATCGAGTAAGCTTCTTTAAACATATACCACTCTATATAACTGTTAAAAAGGTTTCATAACCTTAATATAATTATTGTAATTAATCATGTTTAGACATTTTATATCAATGGGTGTACTGTATACAATAAGTTTTGTGGTTAAATTAGCCTATATTACAAATATGAACTACTCTTTTACAAGGCTAAATTTACATTAGTTGGATTGAAAAAACTATTAATACACCTATACATAAAAGTCTTCACCTTTATTTTACTAAACTTCAATAGCAATATGTGTTTTTGGGTCCTTCAGGTGCTGAGAACTCTATATCATATACGAAGTAGGAAGTATTACTTACAATATACAAGACTTCACCTTTACCTTACTAACATTTCAATGCCCATACGCGCATGGTTTATGGGTCCATTAGGTGTTGAGACTCAGTTATCATATACTCATTTTAGTATATGATACTTCGTACATACAAGTAAGTATTTACATTTACCTTACCCCTTTTCGTACATATAAGCAAGTACTTATTTTTACCTTACTAACACTTCAAAATGATGTCTATACGCATTTTATGGGTCCATTGGGTGTGGAGACTCGTTATTATATCCTTCGTACATACAAGTATGTATTTACTTTTTACCTTATTAACACTTTAGATCCATGTCCATACGCGTTTTATGGGTCCGTTAGGTGTGGAGAGTCGTTATTATATTAATTTGCGGCAACGAAGTGGAATCTCCACACAAATATATGTTCCATATATAAAACGTATTTTTGCATGAATATGTCAGAATATTGGTGAAGTAACTAGGAATTGACAAGAATGACAACAGTATAGAACCCACATAAGTTTGAAGGATAGATTTTCATATGCTTCAACTTACATGTTGCTGACTATATAGACAATTTGCATGTTATGGTACATCCAATAACATCATGACAGAAATTAAAGTAATATTTGAATCAATATATACATTGCAATTTTGTAAAAGTATGTTAAGGTTACTGCCTTATTGGTCCTTTTCTACGGTGGTATGATGATGAGTGGATCGAAGAGAAAATGTGAAGGAATTGTCCTTTGATAGATGATCAAGATGGTAGCTTCAAAATATAATACTCCAATAGAATTTATTATTGGTTTAAGTTGTTTTACATGGTAATAATAATGCTTTGTTAAAAACCCATTATGATATATTGGTGGTTTAAATAAAGCCTACTACTAACTATAAATTGATCGATTGGAGTTTCTGAATCAGGGTTGACATTATGGGATAAGTGTCATTTTAAGGTCACTCATAAAAAGGAGAAGTATTAACGCCTAAATGTGATAGACAAAGTATCAAAGAAGCACAATTTTGGTAAACCTATCATTGTTATGCGCCTTGCCTTACTCCACACATAAATATGTTATTGAGCTATTTAAGGGTCTGTTCTCATACGTTTATTTTCAGTTCAGTTCTGTTCAGTTCAGCTCCTAATTTCCTTCTCTTATAAAATATTCATTTCAGTTCAGGTCAGCTCAGCTCAGTTCAGTTCATCTGATTTCAGTCTATTAGAACATGCCCTAAGTTTATGTAAGTAAAAATCAGATGAATAAAATACACCATATATATATAGCTTAATCGGTATGTAATTTCATAATAATGATTATTTAGTGGCCTATAAATCAGTGACCAAATTAAACAGATTTTCAGAATGAGCAATTTTCTTTTAGGCAAAAATAATTATTTACTCCATATATATATACTTCATCAATATATAACTATCATAATGTGTGCACCTAACTGAAACTCCATCTCAAAAGAGTATTTAGACAAACCTTGACTAAGCTAGTTATTGGACAAAGTAGGAAAAAAGTGCAAAAATTCCTCAAATAGAAGCGGGAAACATTTAACATAAATAAACCATTAAGATTATATATAAAGAGGTCCAACTAAACAGGACCCTTCACCAAAACTAGAAAGCCAAAAATAACGTTATCATCATCAACAACCACCAAAATGCTACTTGTGTCTTTCACACCACTCTTTCTCTCCACCTCCGCCAAACTTAGTGGCGCCACCTACTCAACCACTACAAAGCTCGACTTCTCGGCTTTCGCCCGGCGTTAACTTCCTCCTTATTAGATGCCCAGAATCACAAGTGTATATAGCAAGGCACACAGGGTCAAGCCAGGCAAGAAATGGCCTGTATATTATTGTTGTAGTATTACTTGATGAATTATGCAGTTTTTATTATTTTTCCCTAATTATATATTCATATATACAAATATATTTTTGCAACTTAATTCTTATAATTGATCCTAATATATACTGAAGTGTACATAATGATCATTATTACTAATAAAATTATTAATGACTATATAATTAATTATGATCATTTAATCTTTTCTATACTTTGTTTTTTCAATTATTAATTTTGGTTTGTTTGTTTGTTTATTTAATTTGTATCCAGGAGGGGGGTTTTTTTTTTCTTAGTCTTGTGTAAAGATTCTCTTCCAACTCCAAAGCTAAATTTATTATTCAATTTAATGTTTGAATTGAAGCTTTGATATTTTATTCCCGAATAAAATTTCTATTTTTAGCAGTTTTTCAAGCTGGAGGCCTGTAATTTTTTCTTTATTTATTAACCGTATTATTCATTTATTTATTCATATTTTGTTGTGGAGGGAGGAATACTTGTAATTTTAAATGAAGAAACTTTGGTAGTAATAGAAGTATAAAAATGTCGGTTCATATCATAAATTCATAATAGGAGTATAAGCTGTATAAGTGTATGACCTTATATTATTGTTTAATTTGATATTGTGAAGATTTGTCACATGTGAAGATCTAACACAAAAGATTTGGGTGGCTAATATATGTTTTTTTTTGGTGTCGTATTATGTTTAATTCCGTATAATTTTTATTTCCACAATTAGACTTATAATTTAGCTTTAAGCCTTGAACATGCTAGCTAGTATGTTATTCTTAGTAGCTAGATTCTACTCCAAAAAATGGTATCACAGTAGATAGGTTGTTGGTTTTTTTTTTTTTTTTTTTTTTTTTTTTACTGGAGAAGAAGCTGCGACACAAATTAAATCTTCACTTTATTGGTCGAGGTCGTTTATTACATTAAGTTCAAACGTTAAATCACGGAACTATATATATATATATATATATATATATATATATATATATATATATATATATATATATATATAATAATAATAATAATAATAATAATAATAATAATATTAAAAAAAAAATTGTATAAAGGCGATATAAACAAAGTTGAAAGTTTATAGAAACAATGATTTGTTTGTTTCAAGTCAAACTAGCTAATACGGAAAACAAAATTTTGACATATACTCCTATAAGAGAATAAAATGATTTGATCAATAAGACATAACAACTCAAATTTGTTAAAGTTAGTTGTAATATGTTGAAGCTATACATACAATACGTACTAGTGTACTCTGTACATATGACATGTGAGAGTGAGGGATAACTCAAGTAGTCTCGATTTCAAGAGATTTTATGATTCATTTTCATCCCATCCTCGTGGCTTTCTAAACAACAACAAAAAAACGTACATACGACAAGTTTAGACAACTAATGGCTTTGGGAGCTAACTTGGAGTTTCCATTCTCAAAACAACCATCTTATAATTTATAAATTCATTACATGTCTTTAGAAAAATAGGGAAAGTTTTGAAAAGTCTATGATCTTTTAGAAGATGCATGACTATTACAAATTACTTGCTAATTTTAAATTTTATGAGGTAATTACATCATTCTTACACCTATTATTATCATTCTCTTTGTTCACTAATCAGAACATATATAACAAAGAAAGAACTCCATTGTAGTTTATTAGACTACTCCACAGTAGTCTTTGATGGTACACACAGCCATTCGAGTAACATCTTCGGTATAAAATCGAAGCAATCCCATGTAATCGAATGGCTTAAACTGTAATGGATGCTCATCATCGACCAACTCCTTGGGTGTTTCAATGGTGTCTTTCGTAGTAGAAAATAAGGCAAATGAATATCTTGGCTTATCTCCCTTCATTATTACGCGATGTAGAGGTGCATGTATTCTGTTATTACTCCATGCCTACATTATTTTGAAGCTTTGAAGTTAGGGCATCACATCATATATTATATGAAAATGATTTTGCATGCTTTTGTAATCATTAATTCTTAGACTTGTCTAAAGATTAATTTTGAAGGAAAATATTAATAAAAACAATCTAAGTTGGTACTGCGTATATACTTCACAGGAATGGGGGATGAGGATCGAACCCCCAACCACTTACGGAAAGATGGAGGGACAAACCATCCCTCCATTTCCTATGTCCGCTTATATATTAATCCTTAATTAATGACTTTAATTAATTAATAGTTTGACATAAATACCATAAAAATATTAAAAAATTAAAGGACGTACCAAGAAAGGTTCCCCTGCCATGACAACAAAAGACTGAGGTGAGGACTCAAAACTAAGCCATTCACCATCTTTAGTTTGAACTTCCAAACCATTGACATCATTCTCATGAAGTATAGTTATAAAGTTCTTGTCTGTATGACCTATTGCCCCAAGGTTATGTTCATTCTCTTGTGGTACCCTGTACTTGGCTATCCGTAGAAGGTATGTCGTCGAGTTGAGATGTGACTCGAGGTATTTCTCTACACCATAGGTCTCAAACACCATCTTCATAACCAATTGTTCTAGCTCAGATACTTTCTTTGCATATTCATAGATAGTTTCACTGTTTCATAACATAAAAACAAAATAAAATTAATAAAATCAGGCGAAGAGACCAAGGCCTTAAAAGTTAATGTTACTTTTTTTTTTAAAAAGAAGGAATACGTTACACCACGAGAATAACCTAGATATAATGTTGTTCTTACCAAAATTGATCGTTCCCAGTAGGCCACAAGAGGTTAGTGAAACTTTGCATCTTGTCAGGCATTGCTGCATCCTCGATGCCTAGACTTTCAAGGAGTGGCATCGACTTGCCAGGCTTATAATACCCGTGGTAGGGTAGATCAGAGAAGTTTCTAGCTTTAACCTCCGTAGGGAGGTCAAACATTGGTTGTATAACGTCGACCACCTTGTTGTGGAAGTCTAGGGTAAACTTGTCGTACACTGCGACGAAGCAACCGTATTCTTCGAGTGCTTGCCTGATTTTGTTGCATGTTGATGTCCATGAACTTGTTCCAGGGGTCAAGTTTAACGTGAGGTTAACTGTAGGAAGCTTTGGTAGACTTTTGGAAACCATGGTTTTTTGCTGAAATTAATTTCTGTTACAAATTAAAAAAATATATATTTATATAAGATTTATGAAATATTGTTTACATTAACTATTTATGAATTATGAAATTATTATCAACATAATGTGTTACCCAAAGGAGACTTTTCTTAATTAAAGAGTCAAATAAAGGTTATAAATTAGAGATTAAACAATAAGATTATCAATCAATTTATAAATAAAATAAACTTTAAGAGCTATGAGTAGCTAATCAAATTTTAATTTCTTCATTACAATATTGTTATAGGACTAATTAAGCATTTGAGTAGTATTAGTAAAATACACATATAGGCACGTGAAGATTTGCTAAATGGTCAGATTACTCTAGTAAGTCTAAGTGCATGTCAATGTCACAATAACATTAGAGACAATCACAATATTAATTAACAAATTGTAATTGATACTATGGCACATCAAGATATTCAGATTAGGTAGACTCACTCCTAGGTCTATATTTGCTGCTTGTACATGTCAACATGAAAAGGAAGTATATATTTAAAAGTTAATTAATTACTCTTAATTAGCAAATCATTAGCTGATACATAATTATCGAATTACTAAACATGAATGACGACCTCACAGATGTAACTTATATAAACGCAAAGGTAATGCACGTATTTTTAGTTAAGCACTTTATTAATAATACACTAAATAAAAGAACCCTACATTACCAAGAGTGCAACATATATTGATGAATGTTACATATATAAACAAGTAGCTTATGTGAACACACGTGAACACAAAGGCAATGCACGTATTATATATAAGTATGCATATATAACTTATACATGTAAATAGAAGCAAAATAAGATGAATTAAGAAGAGAGCTTACACTAAATGAGTTAATAATGAAGCTACTTTTGAAGTTGTGATGATCACTAACAATGCTTTAATTTGATGAACATTTAAATGAGAGGGAGCTAGGTTTATATAGAGCTCAAAATTGACTCATACATCAAAATCTATAACTAGGGATAATAATTTGATAACCGACTACTTCAAAAGGGGGCTACAAAATCAAATTAATAATTAGCTAATTGTCATTATCCTAAGATTAGCTACAGATAATAGTGATTAGTCATACATGAATTAATCCTTACAATTGAAAGGACGGTCCCACAAAAAAGGGGACAGTTTATAAAATGGAGTATTAATGTTGTCAATTTGGGGTGGACCAAGTCTAGAGGGGGTGTCCTATGTAAATTAAATTTTGGGTGATTTTTAGTTGGAATTGAATTAAAGGGGTGGCATTTTTCAGTTAAATTAATACTTGCGACTTGCCTTACTTCGGCGGACCAAATCTTTTTGGTACGTCATTCATGCCATAATCGTATCTTGAGGAAGTTTATTTATTTATAAGCTCACCCCTTTGACCTTAATGAACATGGTTAATTAAAAGGAATTGTTATAAATTGTTTTTGTTGTCTTATTTTTATTTTCGCTCTAAAAAGACTGAGGGACAATTAATCATTTATCTGTTTTTGTAAAGTTGTAGCGATTTGACTTTTATGTTATTAGTCAATATGTACAACTTTAAACATCGAAATTTTTAACATATATATTTGTAAAATTATTAAGGGTTATTACTTTGTATTTTGAAAATATATAATGAGAAACGAGAAAGTCAAACGCAGTTTACAAAATTACATTTTTGTAAAATGTACAAATGAGTCACAAGAGCATTATAAATACATAGGTGAGGAAGATTATTAGAGCTTGTGACCTTTTAGACCCCATCTGTAATTAACATTAATTTATATATATAAGTATTAGTCAATATTTTAGTATTCTTTAATTAATAATTACATTTTTTTTAGCTATACTTATTGATTAATTGGTGATGTGACTCACAAATTGACGTATATGGTGACCTATGTGGCTATGTTAGTTCTTATAAGCATTTCACTAGTGTTTATGTCAAATACTACCTTTCAATATGTGATGTGAGAAAGTAGTTGCTTCGGATTATTGTTTATCAATCTTTAATTAACAATTATGGATGGATTTTCTATAGACTAATCAAAATCAATAATCAATTTTCTAACAAATCTATATATTTTTTAATGTCGTCAAATTTATAGGAATATGTTTGAAAATGATGGGAGATTGTTGAGAAGATCAGTGAAAGCTATTCAACTGACTAGTGCTAGTACTTGTGAAATTTTAAATTATACTCTAATTATCCAAGAACATTAGCATTGATTGTGTTCATAAATTGTTTTTTCTAATTTAAAATGATTTTTCTTGAAGCTATGTTAAATTATACATATAGTGAATCAATCTCCAAGCCAACTTGAAGTACTTGATTGATCATCAGGTGTTCATGATCATAAATCGAACAAATAATATATATTTGATAGTAGCTGGTAGATGTAATCAAAGTTGGGTATGAATAGTCAACTTTAACTGATTGTTTCTTGTATAGAATGAATAATTTAGGCTTCTTTGTCATCATTTTAGATTTTCAGTTTCCTGTTTTTTTTAAAACCAAAAAGAAACAAGAAAAAAGTATTTTCACTTTTTTATTGTCAGTTTTCAAAATTATCATGATTTAATTAGTTTAAATAATAATTGTTTAATTCATTATGGGACATATATCATATGCTTTATAAGAACAAAAAACCAAAAAACAGAAAATCACAACAATGCCAAACAAATCCTTAAAGATTGTTTTTTTTTTTGTTTTTTTTTTCTAACACAACAAAAAAATTAAAGATTGTTGAAAGTGCAATATGTGGTTGAATGACTAGCATGCCTCATCATATTTTACTGTCCAAAATGCTCTTATAACATGGAAAAGATCTATGTTAACCCTCCCCCCTCCATCCCAATGGTTTAACTTATGGTTATGCGCTTACATCCCAATGGTTGTACCATCTACCAAATGATGTCGTTTTGTAGGATAAGTAACAACACTATGTTACATCGATCATGATTCATAATATGAGAATTTTTTTAGGAATGGGAACAATTTCAATAACACTTTGGAATGACATTATTTAACATGTTGACTAAATGACTAAGATTCCAAACAACGTTATGTTGATGTTCCTAAAGATTTTGTTGTTGCGTGGACGGCCGATTTCCCTACCCACAGTTTATAGCACAACAATGGAGGAGGAGCGCGTTGACTTGCAAATATGATGCATAAGGTTGACTTCAACTAATTATCTTAATATTAATTGCGTTACAGTACACAAGCCAATTGAAATTTGAGAATAATAAGAAATGTTGACATTTCACATAAAATTAAATAAGGCTGGCATAGACATTTTATTCTTATTAGTATATTTGCAAGGGTTATTGGTTACGGAGTGTTTTGGGTGTTTTTGTCCCTCGGGAGAGTTATAACACGAAGACTGATCCGGGGTGAGCTGTACCTGCAAAACAAACGGAGACACCGGATGGGTGGTGCTCCGCCTCCGACGCTCAAGTTAGAAACTTGAAGGGAGAAAAAAGGTGCGGAAATTTAGGTAGGGATCTGCTCGGATTCCAAGCTCAGGATGTCTCTATCAAAGAGTAAATGTGTAATAAATTATCAAAACGTGTCCCCAAAAAGAGGGTCATCTCCCTATTTATAGGGTCTTTGGGATTTGTGCCCCTGATTAGGTCACTGTACCCTAATCAGTGGTGGGCTGCGCTGCTTTGCGGCTTTCTCGGGATTTGGGCCTGAAGGCCGCCCTTTTTTCCCTTATTTTCTGGAGCGACACGTGTAAAGCAGAGTTTGGTCCACTTTGGGCCATCCTTAGGCTGACACGTGTCGTCCTCTGATTGGACCACGTGGCGGGGTAAAATTACCCTAAACATTTGCCCCTCACAAATGTGACGTGGCACGCCATGTGGCATCTGTGAAATGTGTCACGCTCTGATTGGCGGTAATTTTACCATTAAAGAGTAATCGTTCACCTTCCGGGTAAATTACTAAAATGCCCCCGTTTTTACCCTCTATATATAGCCGTTTACCCTCATAATTTTGGTACGTTTACCAAAACATTTCTAGAGAGAACTTTAAGAGAGCAGACGTCACTCGTTTGAGTCAGGCGTAAGCAAGAAAGCTCGTCTTCCAGAGACCCAGCCGGACCCGCCTAGTTTCAGATATCTCTTCAAAAGGTACCGTCTCTGCCTCTTTCAGCTCTTTTTCTTTTTTCACCGCTTGTACATATTTCTTGCAATAAATGGATGCATCACCAACACACACGGCACAACCTAGGTTAGAGTCCAGCCTGTCACCAGGGACGGCTGAGTCTAGGACTGGGAGTGTTGTCTTGCAGTGTTGGGACCACCCTTTGCCTCAGATTCCGACCAGTTACGTGTCTGTGCAGGACACAATGGCTCGGATAAAGCAGACGGCAACTGATCCAAATTACAAGAGCGAAGGCTCAGGCGGCCAAACGCCTGAGGGAGAAACGTCTGGTCAGGGAGGCCAGACGGCTCTGGAGAGATCCCCTCCGCGCGCCCCTTCGACTCCTGCTGATTCCTTCTTGGAGGAATGCGACCAAGGCGGCGACAAGGCCGCCTCTGCCCCCTTGAATCAAAGTGAGGAGGAGACGGAGAGCGACAGCTCCGCCTCTACCTCTGAGAGCAGTGACGACTTACCCCCGCTTCCGGATAGCGAGGAGGAAGAAAGGAAAAAGTGGAACGAGAAGGATGATCCCTTCAACATCCACGTCTCCTCCAAAGATCGGATCCAAATGGAGGATAACTTAAAGAATTTTACCCAAATACACCCGCTAAGAGACGGGTATAGAATCCGGGTGCCGCCTGAGAATGGCACCATCGCCTGGGAGAACGATGAACAAAACGCCAACGGCTATTTTGGCTGTTATGAGGCGGCGTTCAAGGCTGGTCTCCGCTTTCTCCTTCACCAGGCGGTGAAGGCAATTTTGAGAGGCTACGGCCTCGGAATCTGGCAACTTACCCCCAACTCTTGGACAAACATTCTGGGGTATGTTGCCGCCTGCGAGTTTCAGGGGCTTAACCCCGGCTGGGAGGCTTTTGCTAGTATGCACTATCTTAGCAGAAGCCCAGGCGGCTGGAGGGCGTGGTACACTCTAACCACGCAGCCTCAATATATGAAGACCTTGGACAAGGTCTCGAAGTTCGATGGCTGGAAGCACAGGTTCTACCTGATGTCAGCCCCAACCAGACGGGAAAATTATGAATTCCGTCTGTACAATAAGAAGCCTGACTTGTTGGGCAGGAAGTGCGCTCTTCCCCGGATCCCAGAGGAAGATTTTAACAAGATAATTGAGGCAGACTTTTTCGGCCTCACAGACGCAACTCTGTCAACCGGAGAAACAATAAAAGTTCCCAATAACTGGATCCCCAAGAGCGCCTGGTTCAGGGATGAGTGTTTCCTAGCCGCCTGCGGGCTAGGGCACATGTTTACAAAACGTATGCGCCTGAGTTTATATCCGTCTATAGTATTTTTCTATCGAAATTGAATTATGATATTGACCAATTTCTTTCTTTTTGCAGAAGAAGCATTAAACATGTTGCAGTCGGAGAAAACTCCCAAGCGGTCTTCTACAACCATCCACAAAGATCTTGCGGAGAAAGTTGCGGCTGAGGTCAAGGCCAAGGTATCAAACGCCTGACCCTTTCATAAATTGATCCTTTAAAATCATTTTTCCCGGATGCTAACCTTAACTTTGGTTATTTTTGCAGGGAGGAGAGGTTGGAAAGTCGTTTGAGAAACAACTCAAACGGGCTAGGGAGGAGAACCCTTCCGTTCTCAACAAAATAAAAAAATCCACCTCTGCATCAACTCCTGGTGCCTCAGCCGGGCATCAGCAGATGCGGATAGCGGGGCGACTCGAGAAGGTAGGAGACAGCCTGTGCCTTGATCTTGTCAACCCCTTATCAGCAGCCGCGGGGTTAACCACGCCTGCAAGCGGTT